GGGGGGGTGTCCCTCGGGTCCCCCCCGGAGGCCCTGACACCTCCCCCCCCGTGTCCCCCCAGCAAGAGCTGACGGGTGTTCGGTCGCGAGGCGGCGGCGGTGAGCGCGGCCCTGCGGGGGGCCATGGCCCACCTCCCCGTGGACATCAACCCCCGGCAGCCGCGCAGGAACAGCTTCGAGGTGTCCCTAGTGAAGGAGGATGGCAGCAGTGAGTGCTGGGGGGTGGGGGGGCGGCGGGGGGGCTCCCGGGCACCCCTAACCCGCCCCCCCTTGCCCTCCCCAGCTGTGGAGCTGTGGAGCGGCATCAGGAAGGGGCCACCCCGCAAGCTGAAGTTCCCCCAGCCGGAGGCCGTGGTGGAAGCCCTGAAGAGCAGCTTGGCATAGAGGTGGCGGGCAGGTGAGCGGGGATGGGGACAGGGACAGGCATGGGACAGGGACCGCATGCTGACTGCCCTCTCCCCACAGTAAGCCGGGACCGGCACCCACCCACGGCGCGAGCATCCATGAAGAGGCGAGATGAAGTGGGGGGCACCCGCCAACCCCAGTCCCGTCTCCGATGCCACAGCTCCGCCGCGAGCAGCCACCGCCAGCTCCCCCTGCATCCCGCCTTGTCCCCCGGCTATTCTCCAATAAAGTTCGGCAGCCCCGCAGCGCAGCTCTGCCAGCTCCAATGCTTTATTTCAATACCGCACAGCCTCTTTGCCTGGGGTGAGGGCAGCCCTGCCTGCATTGCACTGAATGCAGGCAGCAGTGGGGGGAGGGTAGAGCTGGCCCCCCTAGGTGAGGATATCCACCTCCTCATCCGACTCGGACGAGGGGCAGGGCCAGACGCAGATGGTGCCGGGTGGCAGGCATGGCTCCACCGTCCCCACATCCACCTCCTCCTCCTCGGGGTCACCTGAGAGGTCCCCCAGCGGAACCGCCTGCCCACAGCCCTGCTGGGGTGCGGGGGGCACCAGGCCCTGCTTCCTCCAGGCTGCCTGGGGGGGCCGCCGGGGGGAGGAGCGCCTGCCAGCTCGCCCCAGTGCACCTGCACCCAGGGGGGGCTGTGATTCCATTGCCCCCACGTCACCTGCTGCCAGAGCACCGGGTGCGGAGGGGGGCTGCTTCTCCTGTACCACCTCCCAGCACCCCCCACTCTCCACCTTCCGCAGTTTCACCCGCCCCACAGGGCCAGGGCTGGGGTGCGGAGTCCCCAGAGAGCATGGCTGCCCCCACGAGGAGACATCGCTGCTCCCAGGGGGGACACCAGCACTGCCGGGCTCAGCCCTGCCACCCTCTGCCGGGGGGGAGCCGCACTGGGGGGGGCGCAGGCAGGAGCGGTTGAGCTGCCGCTGGGGTCCTGGCCTCACCAGGCGTCCCCCCTGGAGCTGCAGCGACTCGAGCTCTGTGACGCGGAGGCGGCGGGCAGCTGCCAGCACCTCCTGCACCTCCTCCCGCGTGGCCTCCAGCTCAGCAGTGTAGAGGAAGCGCACCAGCTTGCGCAGCGCCCCAATCTTCAGCCCCGCCAGCTCCAGCACCACCCTGTGACCCCGGGGGGGCAGCTCCCGGCCCAGCTGCTCCATGAAGAAGGGGCTGCAGACGGAGAGGACACAGCAGTGGGCCACCACCACCTCGCCTGCAAAGCAACAGCAGCCATCACCACCCTGCAGCTCCCCTTGCTCTCCCTGATCCTCCCTGGGGTTGCAGGCACCCTGCCCGCAGGTCCCCTGAGGGCGCCAGCACCTCCGTGGGCCACCCTGCCTGCTCACCTTCAGCCTGCAGGACTGCATCACAGAAGACATCCGCTCGCTGCTGCTGCTGGTGGAGGTGCTGGAAGGCTGTGCGGAGCAGGCGGGTGCTGCGGTAGAGCAGCCTCGGGGTGGCCGATGGAGAGCTCATGGGCACCCTGCGGAGACAGCGCAGCGCTGGGGACACGGGGATCAGCACCCGCCTCCCCTCCTTCGGGCTGGTCCAAATGGTTTGGGACAGGGACATAGTGGGGCCCGTGCAGGAGCACGGGTGCAGCCACGCAATCGTCCGCACAGTGGCACGGCCACCGAAGAGACCCCGTGCACCTGCACACCGGCCCACGCAGCCGTGCAACACCTCTGCAAAGCCCCGCACGCCCGTGGGGCGGCCGGCGGGTCTGTCCAGCCTCGGCGCAACGCCCCACGTGCCCCCGCCAAGTCCCGGGGCTCCGTTTGGCCACCAGAGGGCGCGAGCCACGGCGATTCTGGGGAGGGGAAACGGGCGGGTTTGGAGCCCGCCGCCTGCCCCTCGGCCTGCCTCCGGTCAGAGGCGCGGCCGCAGGGCCCCGGGCCTCGGCCCCCGCCTCGGGCGGGCAGGGC